CTTTTTACCCACACAAAACAAATCCACCAACTCACGTTTCTGGGAAAAACACAGATAGTCATGCTCGACATGCAGCAGCTAAAAGTATGCATGACCCAGTGTGCATTCTTTAAGGAAACTACTGGAGCTGGTCCAAACAAATACCTGGTTCTGCACAACGGATCAGATTTAGAGGGCATTTGGTATTGGAAACCTGTGCTTCCATGGTACAGGAAGCTCCAACGTTTTATCCATATCAATGTACACAGTGAAAGTTCAACTTGTTTTTTGTAACAACAAGGATCTACATAATCTACACTTCTGCTTAAAAATACTTTTTACAATTAAAAAGGCATTAAAAAGTAATGCTTGTCCATTTATGCAAAGATCTCACAACATCTGTTAGCTCTCAGATTTTGTTGGGGATGACTCTCAGCTACCACTTCAAGAAAAGGGAGTTCAGTTTTTTAAAGATTGACAGAGTAACAGCTACTTTTGTGTTTTCTGTGGCGGCCATTTTGAATTGGGTTGATGCCAAAAAGTAATGCCATCAGCAGCATGAGACGATGAAGGTGGCAGCACAAAGGCTTAGTTGCCAAGCCCTGGTTTGGGCCTGGGTTCCTTCTGTATGAAGTTTGCATGTTCTTCTCATGTTTGCATGGGTTTTCTCCTGCAGTCCAAAACATGCATGTTTAGTTCTGCCTTTAGGCCCAGATTCCTTTGAAAAATAAACTTGTGATCTCAATAAAAATAAGTAAATCCAGTGGTTAGGTTTCAATAAAATTTGCCCACTAGTTTACTACATATCTTGCTAACAAACATTAACACAGAGATAAAAGCACAAAGTACATGTAATTCTGCCATTAAAACTGCTCTATTTTCAACGTTTCTGCTGTTGTATTAAAACTGTGTGCTTAGTCTGTTTACATTTGGTTCTGAAGTGACCCAACCCCAACCCCCATCATCCACCACCCATGAACTTTGGTTCTCATGAGGGTGAGTAGAGAAAGGAGCTGGCATTTTTTTTAAGACAGGGGCCCTTATTGAGGAAAAGAAAAAAAACTTGCTACACGTTACTTGAGGTTAACCAGACATTTTCACATTTTACTTTTGCTGCCAGATACCATCAGCACTGAAGCTCTACAGTTAGAGTATTTGACATACTCTGAAGTAGGTAACGATCAGAAGAAATGGTAGGTTTTACATTTCCTGGTTTGAGTTTGACAAGATTTGCTTATCTTGATGAAATTATATTATCATATGTAATTTAATATATATACACTATATATACTGACACCATATTACACTAAATACACTGTACTACACTTTACACACCATACACTTTACACACACCATACTACACTTTACACACCATACTACACTATACACACCATACTACACTTTACACACCGTACTACACTTTACACACACCATACTACACTTTACACACACCATACTACACTTTACACACACCATACTACACTTTACACACACCATACTACTTTACACACATCATACTACACTTTACACACCGTACTACACTTTACACACACCATACTACACTTTACACACACCATACTACACTTTACATACAACATACTACACTCTACACACACCATACTACACTTTACACACACCATACTACACTTTACATACCGTACTACACTTTACACACACCATACTACACTTTACACACACCATACTACACTTAACACACACCATACTACACTTTACACACATCATACTACACTTTACACACCGTACTACACTTTACACACACCATACACTTTACACACCGTACTACACTTTACACATCATACTACACTTTACACACACCATACTACACTTTACACACCGTACTATACTTTACACACACCATACTACACTTTACACACACCATACTACACTTTACACACCGTACTACACTTTACACACACCATACTACACTTTACACACCATACTACACTTTACACACACCATACTACACTTTACATAGGAAAAGTCACTTTGCACCAGGAAAAGGAAAATTTGGCTCTATGACTCTTATTAGTAACTCAGACTGTCACGTATCAGAAACATCTTGACCGTGCTAGATCCACATAAACTAAATCTCTGTTTGTCTCTCACATCTAACAGAGAGATGTGCAGTGATGTGGCTCCAGCCCATCATTCCTCTGTGGAACATAACCTGTCAGTCACCAGGGACGTCACAAGTGGGGGTGGCCAGGAGGGGCAATGCACCCCACCCAACCACTACAAAATTGGGGGCCCTACCAGTTTTAGCCTGTTAAGTTCCAAACTTTTGTTTTGCTCATTTAATTTAAGATTATTAGAACCTTATACAAACAAAACAGATTTTTAACAAGCTAAGAGTTAAAGGTCCATCCATCGTTATCTTGAACCCACTTCTTTCTTTTAGGGTCCCAGGGGTCACTGGCGCTCATATCCAGCAGTCACTGTGCAAGAGGCAGTGGGAGTTAAAAATATAAATATATATTTTACTTAAAATTAACAAAATTCAGTTTGGATTTGGATTAGCTTTACAAGTTTTTCACAATCAGTGATTACTTTAATCATGTTTCAGTAAAATATGTCCAGTAACTCATGATATTTGTTTGCTAACTGATGGATGGACACACCGGCAAAACCATTAACTTCATGCAAGGATGTGAATAGGATACTTTACTTCTTTTGAAACATTCAGCAATAAACAGTGGGGATACGCTGATGTGTTTTTGTTGGAATTTATTCTGTTTAACCACTTCAACAAGCTCAAATCACTTCTTTAAATCACTAATCCAGTCAGATTTACCCACCAAAGGCTTTTGTGTCAGAGTTTTTCTGGGCTTCAAGAAGTCAAATAAAGGTTGTTTGAAAAAATAAAATCAAAAAATCGTTTTATAAAAGGGTTTGAAGTTTGTTTTTTTTTTCTTTCTGTCCTCTGTTTGACGTCATGCCCGGCTGGGGGTTCGCTCTAAAATAGGTCTCATGGCTAAGTTAGGAAACTCCGAGCTTACTGCTGGAATGTTTAAAACAACAAACAGCGTGGCTGAATGTGATATTTTCTCTTCACATGTTCTGTTTCAGAGGAGCGCCAACCCCATTCTGCTCTTCTCTTAATATTTGTAAAAATAAATAAGTTAAGAAGATCTGCCTCAGTTTTTGCRTCGTTTTATTACTTACATGAAAAACGACAAAGAAGGTTTGAGGGGTTGTTTTTGTGTTTTGTTGGGCCCTGGCTTTTGTGAAAGTTTTATCTTCTTCCTGGTAATTTGAGACTATTTTAGTTTGGGTTATCAGAGTAAAAGATGGTTGATTAAAACTAAGTGTTTTATTTATTTTTTTCCTTCCACTTTAAAACAATGCTCTGCTTTGTGTCGCTCTATTAAATAAAATCAAAATCAAACACTTGGTAGTTTGTACTTGTTGGGTCCTTCAGAATTCTTATTAAATGCTTTTAGACGGTTTCGTATTTGTCCAAACCATTTAACAACCACACCACTGTTGTGAGGAGCAACATATGGTTTTGCTTCTTTGCAGCTTGCGGTGTCAGCTCTTTTGTTTCTGTCATTGTGGGAGTCTGCAGCAAAAGTACCCACCCAGTGTTCAAACAGCTGGGGCAGATGTACAGCTTTTTAAATTCTGACAACAGTCCTGACCTGCGCGTGTGGAGCCGGACTTGAAGTTGACCAATTTTCAGTTTTTTTGACGCGGCTCATAGACGGAACTTAAGCACTTCGATTCACCTCCTYTGTTCGTTCATTTCTGAAGACAAACAAACACAACTGCTGCACATCTACTRTCCTACTTAATTTAAAGGGATCCCCAATTAGTTGTAACATTAGACTTTATTTGATAAACATATATTTTAACTGTAAAATAAAGACTGTAAAAATACTGTAGGCTGTTTAGTTTTTATAATTTTTAAACTAAAAGTTTTAAAATATATTACACGGACGGGGCCATTTTATTCACACCCAAAGCATTCTGGGTAAATGATGACAGGGATAGGTCCTCGGTGCGAGGCTGCTAGCGAGCTATATCCACCCTGAAGGTTAATCTTGGACAATATCTGATGATCGACTCTTTTAAATGAAACCAGAGAGCGTTGACAGAGAGGAGAAGGTAGAAATGACTCAGCCTGGAACTGAAAATATGGATGGAGGACAACAGAGCTGCTTCATGGAAGAAGAACCTCAGCTTAGCCTGTTAGCTTTAGTGTTAGCCCCGACACTATCACTATTATTAGTATTAGCTCAGCGCTACACATTCTCCTCTCGTCACTGAGGTCCTCCATCCACATGACAGAGAGGGGAATGCAAAAATGACTCAGCTGCAACTGAAAATATGGATGGAGGACCTCAGTTTAGCTTGTTTGTCGCACTAGCGCCGAGCTAATACATATAAGGCAATATAGCGTTGGTGCTAGYGCAAAGGCTAACAGGCTAAGCTGAGGTTCTTCTTCCATGAAGCAGCTCTGTTGTCCTCCATCCATATTTTCAGTTCCAGGCTGAGTCATTTCTACCTTCTCCTCTCTGTCAACGCTCTCTGGTTTCATTTAAAAGAGTCGATCGTCAGATATTGTCCAAGATTAACCTTCAGGGTGGATATAGCTCGCTCACACCGATGCTTTATTTACATGCTTTGCATATAAATAAAATGGCTCCGTCCGTGTTAAAATATATTTTAAAAAATTTACAAAACTAAACAGCCTACAGTACTTTTACAGTCTTTATTTTACAATTAAATATATATGTTTATCAAATAAAGTCTAATGTTACAGCTAATCGGGGCTCCCTTAAGGATTTATCAGTGCTGGGGTTAACACAGTGATAATCACAYAATGTTATCAGTGCTGGAGTACAATAATAATCACATAATCATTAAAAGATTGCTGAGTTTCCTACAGAACAGTTTGATGTAAAAAGGATGTGGTGGAGCAAAAGGTTTGCTTGCAACCTGATCTTGAAGCAGARTCTCACTTTGATTGATCGTTAACATTGTGGTTTTTCTCTTTACAGATGACACATCAGCTAAAGACGTCAGCAGGGTAAGCTTCATTTGTTTTATTTCAATAAGTACTTAATAGATTTACAAAACTAAATGTTGCYAAGTCTTTAAATGCATAAAATTATTAGGAATATTTAGTGTAATTTCAAAGGGAACATTTCCCTCCTCCTCGCCACACATATGTTCACACCTTTTACTGTCACGTCAGGAGGGGAGGCAGGTTGTCAGCGCTTACAGCGGCGCCGTGCAGCTTTAGTGGAAATGGACTCGCGCACACACAGACACACAGGAAAATAAATGAGGTTCCCTCAACCCCTCAGTGCGTCATCCATACGTCTGTGCAAACAGGATGTGGGAGGGCAGAAAGCGTCCCGTTGGGGAAGCTTTCTAGTGCACCTCTCCCTGCTGTCCTGTCCTCACCCTCTCTGTTGGCGCAGAAATAGACATCTCTTCGGCCTTGTAAGAGAGAGAAAAGGCAAAAGTTTTAAGTGGTCGCACTGTAAGGGCAGAGGCTCGGCAGCACCCGAGCTCCCTGAGCTTAAATGCAAATGGGAGGGGACAGGATGACTTTGTGCGAGGCTACAGAGATGTCTCTGTGTCTTTTGTCCAGCAGTACCAGGACACGAACATGCAGGGCGTGGTGTACGAACTAAACAGCTCCATGGAGCAGAGGCTGGACACTGGAGGAGACAACAAACTGCTGCTCTATGAGTTGTCCAACATCATCAAAACAGGTAAAAAAAAAAAAACAGAGAAAAGAAGAGGATTATACACCCATGTTTCAGTCAAATCACAGTAACCCAGCCTTAAAGACGTGTGGATATTTTTAGAGACAAAAATACATCAGCTTGTTTATGACAAATGCATGGATAAACATTTCTGAGAGTTTGGGGTCAAATTCTTTCAGTACCCGCAAAGCAACTTAGAAAAGGAGGAAGCTTTCCTGTCCTAAAAATATAAAAACACAAGTAAGATTGTTTGCACTTTTTTTAAACACAAGCCTTCATCCAAGAGTGTCAAATTAATTTCTGAGGGCCACATGAGCATTATGGTGGCCCTCAAAGGGCCACTTGTAATTAACTTTAACGTTTCGTGTTTAAATTCAACTAAACATAAAACATGTTCCTCGCCTCAATACAGCTGAGCACCGCTAACAAATAACTGAGCTCTACCTGGTATTTCCTGCRTAGAAACTGCTTTTACACGTCTTCTTATAAACACTGAAAAGTACTACGCATACGACTGGCTTAATGTGAAAAAAATATTACAGAAATACTATTAAAAGTAAAAGTAAAAGAGTTTTACTCACTGTTGAGTTGTAATAAGCAGCTGCCATCTTGAATTCTGAACTCTCCCACTTTCCGACAGGGAATTCCCACTGGAGGGGTGTTCCAGTTTAAATTTACGACTTATAAGTGGGAAATTCCCACTCCCCAGTCCAAGTGAGTCGCASCAAAAGTAGCCGATAAAATTTTACGCAGTGAATTTTACCGGCTGCCRGCTACTTTTGAACCTTGTGCAGCGCCACCTAGTGGTGGCAGAATAATCAAGACATGCCGTTCGTGGGCAATGCTGGCATTAAAGCAGCTTATTTGAAGACACTCTCGCGGGCCACATAAAATGCAGTGATGGGCCACATTTGGCCCACAGGCCTTGAGTTTGRMACATGTGCCTTAATTAAAAAGAAGYAAAACTACTGAATGATGGCAGCTCCTCTTTCAGCTTACAGCAGCCAACCACTATCAATCCAGATATCTTAATAATAAACATTTAAAAGCACTCAAACCGCCTTTAAAAACATTTATTTAGAGACTTAATTGTTTATTTGTGGTTTTATCCAATTAATAATWAAGTACAGTTTTTAAACTAGATGAAAACTAAAGCTCTGGTATGAAAGGTTTCAGTAATTTATTCTGTTTTACCAGTTCACCCAAACCCCACTACTCATTAACTCCTTGATTATTTGTGCTCTCTCGGTTGTCTCTATATGATAACATGACCTATATATGAGGGAGAAATGGGACTGGAAAAAGAAGGACTGGGAACGGGATGAACTGGAAGGCAGCCAAAGCCTYGGTCAGAGTACACACGTTGTTATGTGGGACTAAAAGAATATTACATTATTCTGTCGTCTTGATCCGTTTTTAGACAAATCTGAGTTTAATTATTGGGGTCGTCTGTGTGAGACTGACAGCTGATGTTAATTGTTCTTGTGCCCACATGACCTCTGTCTCTTCTTTCTCAACAGCAACAAAAGCTGATAGTTTTGCACTTTACTTCTTGGGAGAATGCAACAATGTGAGTACGAGGGGGGTTGATTGGATATTTGGGAGGCATCTTCTGTTTTGAATAGTTGTTATTCTCTTCTCTTCTCAACAGAGTTTATGTTTATTCACTCCAACGGGGCCCAAAGATGGCCATCCAAACCTCGTCCCCTCCGGCCCCATCGCATATGGGACGACCATTGCCGCTTATGTTGCCAAGACTCGCAAAACAGTGCTGGTGGAGGACATCATGGGGGTACGGCCGCCACCCTGAAACCACAACAAAGCCTGTCGTTAAAATCCTAGGTGGTTAAATCGAAGCCAACCGGACTTCTCTTGTTTCTTAAAGATGTTTTAATTCCCACCTAAAAGGCGTCTTCAGTTCTTGTTAAAAAGTTAGAAGTTCGAAACGTCTTCCCCAAACAAGAGAAATCCAGTTGCCTTTTCATAATGTACACCACATGCCAAACTGAAGGCCCGCGGGCTAAATCTGGCCCTCGTTAACATTTTATTTGGCCCCAAATATAATCCTTTAGTTGTTTGTATTTAGTGCATTCTTCTCATAACAGCTGGACAACTTTCAAGCCAAGAAAATTTAAGTTAGAATTTGTCAGAAACCTTTGATTTTGGTGCAAAAAGAGCATCTTTATGTGTATTCTTTTCTTATTTTAAAGTAAAATCATTGGATTTTTAGTGAGGGTTGTCTTTTCTTAAATGATTTGCTGGATTGTGATGGAACATTTCTCTAAGGAATTATAAATTAAAAGTTTGTTGGTAGAGAGTAAGGCAGAAGAAATGAACACTAAAGGTGTTTCTTTATAAATTTAAGCTTTTTTATCAGGTTCTGTATGTTTTAAACGTTATATAAAACATAATTTGGGAACGGCAATGTGTATTTCTATAAGAATAATTTGTTATATAACATTTATTCAATAAATACTGAAAGAAATTGGCCCTTTTGGATTTTGACCACTTTGATCAGTTGATATTGTTGTAATATCCGATTCTAGATCCTTTTTAATAGAAATTTTATGTCTATGTTTTATTTTGGTGTGACACTTCAGAGGATTTGGCTGTTTATTTAGAGAAAAGATGATTGCAGATCAGGAGCTACGTGATAGAACTGATCAGTATAGATCTGAAGTTTAACAAACAAGTCAAACAAAAGCTTGAACATCAGATKCCTACATGCCAGTGCCGTGTCCCAGGCTTGAGTGAAATAAAAWCCTAAACAGGTGTTTGTGTTTGCAGGACGAGCGGTTTCCCGACGGCACAGGGCAGGACTCAGGGATCCATGTTCACTCTGTCCTGTGCCTCCCCATCGTCACTGCCATCGGAGACCTCATCGCCATCTTGGAGCTGCATCGGCACTGGGGCAAAGAACCCTTCAACCTCAGTCATCAAGAGGTCAGTCTGACCCAAACACCAGGAACTTACAGAGCTTTATAGTTCCCGTCTAAAAGCAGGTTTACTCACTAAAACAGGAATTGAATCCTTAAGGATCCTTTGACTTGGTTTGGTTTTTTTGTTTTCCAGGATATATTTTCCTGTATTTAAAGCTGAACAGATGGTGAACTGTGCCTTTTGTTTTGGCTGAACACAGCTGCAAAATATTAAAGCTGCAAGCAAAAATCAGTTCAACAAAACATTTTAGTTTTGAATAAATCCTTTTAGGTGAATTTGGTATGAGAGTTAACTCTGCGGTCACACGAAAACACTTGTTTTTCGTGCAAAACAAAGTTTGCAAACCATAAAAATGATGATTTTCTTCTTTTCTTTTTTGTAACCACAAAGACAAAGACTCATTATTGTATACATTTTTGCAGTTCTTTAACACTAAATTTTCCCGTTTTTGCAGGTTGCAACAGCAAACTTAGCGTGGGCATCTGTTGCCATTCATCAAGTACAGGTAGGCAAACACCCTTAAAGTCCTGGTCTGAGTTTGAAGTGGTCCCATTTTTTTTTGGACAGGTCCGATGTACTGTAACGTTCCACCGGAGACAAAGTGTACTCTACCAGTTGCATTTATTATGTTCTTGGGTAGCTTTGTTTGTTCTGGTTCTGCACTGGGGAAATCCACTGTGTACAGGACTTGGGTTGTCGCCGCACCCAGTCCAATCAACTTCAACCATAGGTTCAACAAACAGCTCCCCGGGGACGTCATTATGCATTACGAAATGATAGCAGAAAGCCCCGGAGAAGCCGTGTCCCACTGCAGCTCTGTCCGCAGTGGACCTCTGAGCCACAGTTGGCGGTGAGGCGGTTAGTTACTAACTGATAACCCTGTGTGTTGTTACAGAAACACAAGCAGAGTCTGTAGACGTGTTTGTAGACAGTGAGCTGTTTTGGCTGCTGAAGGTGTTACACGAGGCTTTTTCTGTGTTCCTGATTATGACCTTTTCTTTCTGCTAGACGTGCAGAGGCCTTGCCAAACAGACTGAGCTCAATGACTTCCTACTAGACGTGTCAAAGTAAGAGATGCTCTTCAAACTGTTTCTGTAGCTCTGAATGAACCCGCTGTAAGAATATTCAAACCAAGTCGCGCTCTAATGTCAGGCTGTCTGGCATCTTTTATTGTTAAGCTTTGAAAAGCCACCAAAAAAAAGTGCAACATTTGACATTTTCTGCAGTTTCATGCCTTGAATGTGACGTCATTGAGGTTTCCTTTTTGTCAAACATCTAAAGTGACTTTTTCTTCTTTTTGCGCAGAACATACTTTGATAATATTGTGGCAATAGATTCTCTACTTGAACATATTATGGTAAGTACAATTTCTCTATGTTAATTGATACTACGGACACCCTGCTGACAAGTTCTGGACATTGCAAATTAAATAAAAACTGCTAATCGTCATAATTTATTATCCACCTGATCTTATGACCTCGCATCATTTCTGAGTCCTGCTCTAAAATGTTCTGTGTTTTTCTGCTTTTACCAGATATATGCAAAAAACCTGGTGAATGCAGACAGGTGTGCACTCTTCCAGGTAGATCACAGCAACAAAGAACTGTACTCTGACCTGTTCGACATCGGGGAGGAGAAGGAAGGCAAACCTGTCTTTAGGAAAACGAAAGAAATAAGGTGCATAAAAGTCAACATCCACCAGCCATTATTTACAATCACAAGAGACATTTCTGCTCCTCAGCTCAGTACGAAAATATGTTCAGAGCCACAAAACGTGTTACAGCTGTGATTATCAACTGGTGGCCCRTGGGCCACTTTCAGTTCATTGAATGGGGGCCTTTCTGGCCAGTGTGGGTGACATCATAAAACTAGAAATGCATGGCTCATTTTGATTTCTTACCATTATTACACTTTAGATAAAAAAGAATATTCGTGTAAATGAGGAAAATACTTTAAATAGTTCATACCAAATTTTATAAAAACTACAACTGAACTAAGCACATTTTTTTCGAATTCTTATTATTATCAAGTCTATTCGTAAAAGTCTTTAAAGGTAACCCTGATGGATTTGAGAAAAAGATCACACTTTAAAGGGCTCGACACACGGGAGGCGATGTCGCTCGCTCTCCATTCATTTCCTATGGAGCCTGTGCGGTGAGGTGACAATCACTTGCCCTCCTCCAGCTAAGCGACCGGTGAAAATAGTGCATGTGAAATTTCGCGCTCGTACACGTGCACACGCGAGCTTGCGACGCGACATATGAAAGTTGAAAAATGTTCAACTTTTGTCGCTGTCGCTTAGCGTACAACCAATCAGCGAGGGTTTCATTGACTGACCAATGAGAGGAGAGTATGCTACACGCTGCASTTAGCTAACACTTTCACCAAGTGATTACTAAAAAAAGGCAGCTTTGTGGGAATTTATTGGCACCAGGGTGAYGTTTATGGTAAGTTTTTCCTCATAAAACTGTATCTTGATGTGTGTTTGTTTTTCAATATCATTAGCATCGTAAGATTTGTTTAGTTTACACGTCCGTAATGCACACCCGCCTTCAGAGTCAAGAACCAATCAAATTTTGTGTAGACAAGCGACCTGAGAGCGCGATTCGCAACGCTGCGATAGCTATCACGTCCCGTGTGTCGGGTTTCACCCTGGCTGCGATKACAGCCGACAATCGCTGTAGTTTGTCGCYCCCCGTGTGTCGAGCCCTTAAGTCTGAAATTTGGATAATTGAAATGGCTAACATGCTACTAGCATGAGCTAACAAACACATTTCGCTCTTTGTTTTAGTAGCATTGGTCACATATTTGCAAACAAATTGACAGGAAATTGACAGCCAGCTAAAGCTAGCCTTTGCATTTATGAGTATAAAAACATAAAATTTAATCGCATGTTACCTTGAAAAATATGCTGCAGAGGGACCTCATAGCTGCAGGATGCGGACCCTGATCTACTGTAAATAAATTTATGTTTCATTGTTCTCTGCAGGTTTTCTATAGACAAAGGAATAGCTGGTCAAGTAGCTCGGACAGGTGAAGTCTTAAATATCCCAGATGCCTATGCAGATCCACGGTTTAACCGGTAAACACAAAGATTGATCCATTTCCAGGGCTTTCGGCGTTACACGCTGCCGACACACTAACATTTGTGCTCTTTCGCAGAGAGGTAGACCTCAAAACTGGCTACACCACGCGGAACATCCTGTGCATGCCCATTGTGAGCAGGGGGACCGTTATAGGTGTGGTGCAGATGGTGAACAAGTTAAGCGGAAGTGCCTTCACTAAAACAGATGAGAACAACTTTAAGATGTTTGCTGTCTTTTGTGCTCTGGCCTTACACTGTGCAAATGTGAGTACCTCCAGAGAGCTTTGACTGATACTCTAACAGAAAATGTTATGAATGTTTTACTTTGCTTTCTTTAAAGGACTGCATGTTGCCCGTTGATTTTCATGCTAGACGTTTAAGTTAAAATTATGTAACACTGAGCGGTTAAAGGGTTAAAGCTGAAAAATCATTTATCCTGTCAGATAAACTTTATTGTAATGTCTTATAATTACTCTCACCTGACAGGGTTTAGCTGCAGACTGATTTGCGTAGGGTTCCCACGGGTCCTTGAAATCCTTGAAAGTTTTTGAATTTAAAAAACGATTTCAAGGTCCTGGGAAGTTTGCGAAAACAGCCAAAAATTTCACTTGTCCTCGAAAGTCCTTGAATGTTTTTTGGGGATTTGAGGCTCTCTATTCACACGACTGATTTTCATCATCTGTAAAAAATAAATAAGTAAGTAAGTAAAGTTTTATTTATATAGTGC